TAAATAGGTGGGTCTTTAATTGGGTCAAAAGAGAGAGGTGAAGGGAGCAGGTGTCGAGGGCGTCTGAGGCTTATAAACCAGAAAAAAAGAGCTGATTTGAGAGGAGCAGTAGCTCCTGGGGAGGCTGACTTTGTCCGCTCTTTGTCAACATCATCTACGATTCAGGCAGAGGAGAGGGTGAAGAAGAGGACTGAGAGCCAGTTACTGAGAATGGGGTGGAGGAGCCACGCAGGACAGCAGTGAGGGGATGGAGGGCAGAGTATGGACCAAAGACCCTCTGGGAGGAGGGGTTTTTGCCTGTAGGACATGAGACGGTGCCACCTTTGCCTTCTGTCCTAGTGAGTAACATCCCTATGTCACGTGCCTCCCCGGGGCAAGAGCAGGGCTGACTTCGCCCTGCCTCCTAGAGACCACAGCTTCACAAGCAGGGATTGTCGTGGTGAGGGGGTTCCTGCACCCTTGTGCTCAGCCAGCTTTGGCGCCTGAAGACAGACAGCCCAGGATGAGCAAGAGGTTAGGGGATCTGTGCTGGAACATTCCAGGGTCCCCAGCTATGCTCCATGCATTCTCTAAAGCAGGTTATTTTTCCAGCTGTAGAGGAATGGCTTCAGAAAGGCTCCCTGAGAGCACCCTTTCTACATTGCACTTGGCCTCCTTTTCACACACACGTGTCTTGTTTAGGTGTTAGAACGACCCTGAGAGGGTGGTTCTCAAACCCTTAGCACAATTCTGAACATCGGAGAAGCTCACAAAAACCAAAGTATCTTAGTAACTGCGTTGGTAGAAGACGGCCTGACCTCTCGGACGGTGGAGTCTCTGTCCCACCTGGTGTGTTTGAAGACAGGCTGGAGCTTGGGGTACCACATGGCCGTCCTCCCTTTGTGGACTCCAGCAAGCTGTGACTTCCCCAAAACACGTGGCCGCCAAGGATTCTGGACAAGGGGTCATGGATCTGTGCAACCCTCCCTTCTAGGTGACAAAGACACTGAGTCTGAGGGGTGCCTGGCTGGCTTAGTCCGTCGAGCTTGCGACTCTCGATCCAGGGTCTGGGTGCAGAGAGGACTTAAAAAATAAAATCTTTTAAAAGAAAAGAAATCGGAGAATAAATTATACCCTCCAGATTGGCACAGAACTTTGCTCTTCATTGGCCATCAAGTGGCAGGCCAGCGGATGTGTTAATCACAACAGGAAGTTGATATGATTCGTTTTGGTTTTTAGAAATTGTAATTGGTGGAAGTAGGGGAGCAGGGTTGGTGGAGCCAAGCTCGGGTGCAAGGTCAAAACCAAAAGCCTTTGTCCTTTGGCCTGCTTCTGGTTGCCTCCCCAGTTGCTCTCCTGTCCTGGGAGGGGGAGCCCCCATCTCCCATCGATCTCATTGGCAGCGGAGCTTGGCCCCCTGGCAGCCTGAGATGGTCCCCATCGACCTTCATGTCGCCCGTCCCGCAGACTCTCAAGCCTTTCTTGACTACATTACTCACCTGCAGTGACTACATTACTTACTACATTACTCACCTTGAGGCCACTGGCCACCCCATCGTCCTGAAAACTGCCCAGGGCCCTGGCTTGTCTGATCTCATTCTCCCTTGTCCTCCCTCTCCCCATGTGGCTTTACTGCTCTGGCTCTGTTCTGGCCCCCAGGGCTCCCCAGCTCCTCCAGCAGCGGTCCCAAGGAGCTAGGCTTCAAGCTCACCTCCCAACCCCCAGTTCATTCCAGGGCCATGCTGTGCCACTCCCAGATTTCTGTTGAGTGTCACCTTCCTCCCTAAGCCAGATTCCTGTGACCCAATGCCTGCCAGGCCCTGGGCTAACCCCAGTTCCATCTGTGGACATGAGCCTAACTTCTCGGCAAACCGAAGCAATGGATAGGCCATATGTGTGATACCTTCTTTTTTGTTTATTTTACCATCGCTTTTGGCAAATTAAGTCACTCCTGTCCTGTTACCTGGAGTTGAGGACCTGTGCTTTACAGATGAGTCAGTCATTGGTCTGGACAAAGTACTTACAAGCTAACGGGGTCAGGGCAGAAATAGTAAGGCAAATTAAGGAATCCCTGTAATCAAAGAGAGGAAGAGTGTCATGGGGAAGGAGAGAGCAGTCTGGCCCAGGGTGCATGTGTGGGCTTTCCCTTCCCTTGATCTTTCCCCAAAGGAAAAGGGTTGATCATCTCAGTAACAGGCTACGGTGTGGTTGGCTTGCCAGTGACTCGGGGTCACCTTGGTTTTCAGGCAGTATTCACGGGACCTGCAGTGTGCCAGGACTCAAGCAGCCTTGTTCACTCGTACCTTCTTGGGGGACGCGAAGTCTCAGCAACATGTCTGGGTGAGAAACTGATCAGGGGAGAGGAGGCTGCTGAGAAACGCAGTGGGTTAGGCCGGGAGCCGCGAACAGAGCGAGGAAGGAAGGAGCCCCGAGGGCGGCCGCGTCCCTCAGTGTCCAGTGGGGGGCAGTGGTGTGCAGACAGTCACGGGGAGACGTCCCTGCAGGAAGGGCCCTCCCACCCTCGGGGAGCCAGCCGGGCTCCCAGCATTGCGGGGGAGTGGCGGGTGCCTCTGGGTGCCTGTTGCTCAATCGACACTTCCTTTGGGGAGACAAACTGGGCACGGAAGTGCTCGCCAGGAACTTCCAACCCAGCTGAATCTGTTAAGGACACGGAGCACCTCTCCAGTGCTGCAGTGAGCCCAGAGCTGAGTGCGAGAGCAAAGCGGACGGGATGAGGCGAGTGGGCGAGTCCTCAGAGCTGAAGGCTCTCCTGGAGCCCCTGCAGTGGGGACCATGAGGCGCCCTGTGGAGCTGGGCAGGTCTAGGCGCTCCCTCCCTTCGGGGTGGGGCCAGGGCCGGCTCAGAGGTCCAGACAGAACAATAGAAGGTGTGACTGTATAAAATGCCAAGACTCCCTGGGAGTGTCCGTGGGAGGAGCCCGGGGCTGCCCCAGGGGCCCACCTTCTGAACTCTCTGAACCTGTAGTCCGAAGTCCTGGGAGCGGCCAGGGGACAGCAGAATGACCTGCAGGCTGGGAGTGGCAAAGGTAGAGAGGTTCTCTGAGGGATGAAGCTTCTTCCCGGGAGCCGGGCTGAAGGGGGTTCAGAGACTACAGACGGTGTGAGAACTGTAACCCAGTTACAGTTAAGGGTTAAGGTGCCCCCGGGTCAGCTCTGGGTGTCCCAGGTGCATCCCAGTCCAAGAACGCTGACACTGCCCTTCCATTGGGTAGGTAATGATCTCTTTCTCTAAGTAGGCTCCACGCCCAACGTGGGGCTTGAACTTGCTACCCTGAGATCAAGAGCAGCCAGCCAAGTGCTCTTTAACGTGAAACTGATTTAAGCAGAATGAAAACACCTCACAAACAACAGGGTAGAAAAGCCTTCCCCCCAACCCTGGGTGTTGAGAGGCAATGGCTGAGCCCTGGGGTTGGGGAAGAACACCCTCAATGTTAAATTCTCTGGGGGAAGCTGGGTCAGGCGGTGTCAGACGTGCCTAAGCCCCCTGTGCTGGCTGCTCTAGAGAGGGAGGCCAAAGGTGGGTCCTCAAGATCTCCAGGCTCCTGGCTGGTCAGTTGCATCTGAAATCGACTGGAATGAAATGCAAACCCAAGTAGCTGGGAAGAAAAGGTCAGAATTTTAGCCCTGTGTGCTCCCCTCGCTGGCCCGAGTCCCATCACTGCTCAGGTTCCCCTGCACTGCCCAAGGCCCAGAGAATGGCCCCATTGTCCGTGAAACAAACAGAAATAGCAGCATCTTCTGTTCTCTGCCTTAGGGAGATTCACTTGAAACCCCGAAGTCCCAGATGTGGGGGACAATGGAGGTTGTTGTTGCAAATTCGGGAGCCTGGAACAGATGAGAGGCAGGTATTGGGAAAACGGCCAGTGTGGTGGGCTGGGCTGCCGGGAGAACTACCACGTTAACCCAGTTAGCAAGCACTGGCAGGAGTTCTGTTAATCACCAAAGAAGGGCGGTGGATAAAGGGGACGACCAGCTGGTGGGGGTGGAGGGCCCCCCCCCCCAGAGGCCAGGACGGGGACCAGCGCTGGAAAGAAAGGACGGGGAGTTATTTCTAGGCTGGTAAATGTTATTTTTATCATTTTTAAAATGTTCTGGTTTTTTTTTTTTTTTTTTGGTCTAACCATGCCCTGGAGCATTTGGATGAACTGTGTTTGCATTAATTAATAAATCAGATGACATCTCCACTCGGTAGCGAGCTGTGCCTCGGAGACTGTCTGGGTGGCCTGGGAAACGGTGGCCGCGGCCTCCTGACTGATCCCAGCTGTTACGTCTGTCTGTCCTCAGTCCTTCAGTCCCGTCAGTCCACACTCCTGAGTGCCTACTGCTACTCACTGGCATTTTGTGAGGAAGGAGCCCAGCATGGAAACGGCAGCGTCTGGACTCAGGGCTGGCTATAACGAGGGCTGTGTACAATCCAGTGACACAATCGTGCTGAGCGGGCAAGGCATAGGTTCACTGCGGCTGGGATTCTGAAAAAGCTGACAGGGGTGCTCGAGTTCAAGGACAAAGGTCAGATGATGATAGATGGAAGGGCCAGGCTTTTGGATGTAGAGGGTGTGAGCAAAGGCACAGAGATGAGCTTTTGGGGAGCAAGTGCAGCCCTTCCCCAGGGGGAGGTCAGGATACCTGGAGTTTAGTGAGCTTAGCAGCAGAGTCACCCGGAATGGCCACTTGGGAGAGAGTGTGCTGAAGGGGGCAGTGACCACTGGCGTCACGGCGGGCAACATGCTCCTGTTCCATCCCACCCCTTCTTGACTGTGTCTTGTTTTAGAGGATCTTCGCATGGGGCTGCAGGAAGCAGGGCACAGATAACCCCAGCCTTCACCGCAGTGAGGGAGAGGAAAGAGACACCCCCCCCCCCCGAGGGCAGAGCTCCAGAGAGACAGACGGAGAAGATAAGCTCAGGCCCAGGAGAAGTGCCTGCCCTGTCCCCTTCCTGGTGCAGATCTGGGAGCCGTGTCCCTCAGCCCCCTGCTCTCACTTCGGCACACTCTCCCCTCCTTCCCACCCCACCCAGCCTTCCAATCCCGGCCAAAGAGGAAAGGGATGAAGTGTGCAAAGGTGAGTGTAGCATGTCCCTGCTTGTGATCAGGTGCAAGGCGGGGCATCAGGTTGCTCAGGCTCCTGCTAAGCTTTGCTGGCCTCTGTGGTCTGTCTCCAGGATGCAGGGGCTGGGCAGCAGGCGCTGACCTTCATGACCAGCGTGATGATCTCTGGAGAAACTACCACCCACCACAGTTAGTAGGAAGATTTCTGTATCCCCAGAGACCTCTCAGGCCCATGTGTCGACACGGCATGGCTAAGTTTTTGTACGCAGGGGGTCAGGGCTGGGAAACATGTCCGTCTTGGCTTCTACACCTTTCTTCCAGGGGCAAATCACCAGCACGTCCCAGATGTAGACTCCCTCCTCCCATCGGGGTTTGATGGCGGGCCTCCCAGGCTGCTGCTGGGCCTCTGTCCCTCCATGCAGGGCCTGCACAGAACAGGCAGGTCCGCAGAGCCCTCTGTACCCGAGCACGCAGTACCTGCTGTTCTCTGAGCAGTGGCCCCAAGTCACTCCTGCTGCTTCTCTGGTTTCAGAACTGCCCTGTGATGGGCACAGGGTCTGGGTCCCCTGGGCTGCAGGGCTGGGGGCTAAGGGGATGGCCACCTTCTCCCCCACTCCCTGCTCTCACCTGCCACCACATGGCCCCCAATGCCGCTGGGGTTGGAGGCCGACCCCCGCAGACATGTCATTTGGAGGGCGACTTGGAGCAGGGTGCGGGGCCTCCTTCAGGGGTGAGCGGTCACCTGAGCTGGGCAAGAAGAGACTGACGGCAGAGGTGGGACAGCTGCTTTGGAAGGGCAAGAAAATGTGGCCATGCCATGGTACAGCTCCCAGAGAGCTTCCCAGCGTCCCCTGGAGAACACTGGCCCATCTCCCAGCCGTCTGGGGCCCCGAGGCCTGGGCGCAGCCCTCGGCAGGCCCTGACCACTGCAAGCAGAAACAGGCCTCTGAATGCCTCCTCCCTTCCTGACCATCATTGCTGCTGTGTCATCCCCCCGCCCCCTGCAGTTCCAGGGGGCCAGTGCCTTCACCTCTCCTGGGGCTGGATGCAGGGGCCAAGAAATGAGCCCCTGTGGTCTCTCCCGCGTCAGGGAAATCTTGCAGCTGGCCTGAGCCTGCAGAGCCTTGTCTCGCCGACTTGGGACCTTTTGGATCAAGGGTGTTGGTGAAGCAAAGTTTTGGCAAGAACCTTGGTGGCGGCTGCCAGAAGGAGGCAGAAGGGAGATAATTAGACCTGGTAATCGGTTGGCTTTCTGCTTCCTTACAGGGCAGCAGGGACTGTGGATGAGAGGGGAACACACAGAAGAAAGTTCTCCAGGACCAAGGCTGAGCCGTCCCCATCAGGGCCCACCATCCTGTCCCATCTTGCCTGGCGCATGTGTCTGGTGTGACCAGTTCCTCCATACCCCCACCCCACCCCCCAGCCCGTGCGCACCCATGTCCTGGCCAAGCCTGGGACCAGACAGCTTAGGGCTTTGAATCTGCGGGTCCTCTGTAGCGGGATTTCCCCAACTCTGGCCTCCTCCCCAGAAGAGCTCCAGCAGGGCCCACAGTAGAGGGCTTGAGGGAAGGGTTCTGTCTCCGGGCAGAGTTGCCTCATCATTTCCCCCAGAGAAGTTTGCTCTTGGGGTGGTTTCCAGGCCCCTGTCCCTCCGGACCAGATGGCTCATATTAGATCTCAGTGTGCAACTCGCTGCCCTTTGTGGGAGCATGTTCTGGATTTTTCCCAGCCTGAGCAGCTGATTCACCAGGACCTTCTGGGAAGTCCTCCCTGTTTGATTACACCTCAGCTCGTCAGCAGAGAAGCTGCGTGTCCCATTTCCAGCTTTTGTGGGGAGCGCGTTGCTTCTAGGCCCTGACGCAGAAGTGTGTACCCCAGGGACCAAAGTCAGACCTTGGGCTGGGGCTACGGGAGCCCTGCGTTAGGTCTGCAGACCTGGTACTGCTTTCTGAGGGGCTGGTCGCTCAGAGTCTGGCAGAGGCCAGACCGTTTGAGGTTTTGTTTTCTTTAGGATTTGTGTGTGTGTTTTGGAGAGCGAGAACATGAATGCATGAGTGGGAAGGGCAGAGGGAGAGGGAGAGAGAATCCCAAGCAGATTCTGCACTGAGTGTGGAGTCCCACGCGGGGCTCAGTCTCACAACCCCGAGGTCATGACCTGAGCCGAAACCAAGAGGCTGACGCTTAGCCGACTGGGCCACCCAGGCGTCCCAGAGGGTGGGCTGTTCTGTGGCTGTTTCGTGTCTTGGGAAAAGCAGAGGAGGGAGTTCCTGCCAGGGTAGAGCTGGAAAGCCTCGGGTCAGCGGAGCAGCCTTCTGCGGCCTCCCTCCTTCCCAGCTGTCTGGTGCTTACTCACCCTGCTGAGTACATACAGGTTGCTGGACATGGTGTCTTCGAGGGACCCCCACCCATTGGACCTGGGAGCCGGACGGCCCCTGTGCTCTTTAGGGAAATCACTCGGCCCCCACGGGCATCTGGTTTCTCCTGCGCAGAGCGAGAATAGGCCACCTTCCTTCCTGCTTTGTGCGGACCCGGCTGGCTAACAGATGCCAAGTGCCCCGCCACGGGGCTAGGAGCAGCGAGGATGGTGTACAGCGGAGAGGTTTAGGAGGATGGGTGGGAGGAAGGGCTTGAGAGGCGTCCCAGGATCCTGGGGCTGGATGTGCGTGGCCAGGAGCGCTGGCTCTGAGTCTGGGGTCCCCTTCTCTGCCTATTTAACCTTAAACAGTTATAGCCTTGGCTGGTTCCTTTGCAAATGGGGATCGTGTTCTCCCTTCCAGCCTCAGTGGGAGAGAGCAAGAGAAAGCAACACTATCCACTGTGTTCTAGACGCAGTCGCAAGCCGACATTGGGAAAGAATGGATGTAAAAAACCATCACCTTGTCACCTGCGCAGTGCAACCCCCAGCTAACTGTGACTTTCGGCTCTGCCGCGCTCCTGGCCACAGCACCCCCGCTCCCAGCAGGGGCGATGGAGGTGGGCACTCTGGTCTGCTCAGGCTTCAGGCCCTCAGTATCCTGGGGATTCACTGCATTTCCCTGCTGTTTAGGCAGATTACTAAAGCCTCTTGCCCCCTTGGGATTTCCTCAGTGGAGGGTCTGGGACCCCCAAGGAGCAGGGAGAGCCTTGTGGAGCCTCGTGGGGGAGGGGACTTGGGAATGGGTGCTCACAGAGGTTGAGGGAACACTCCCCAGAGCAACCCCTCGGGGTGGCAGGGCCCCCTTGCCCTGTACACAGCCAGCTTGTGTAGGGGGAGGGGGAGGAGGTAGGGGGGTGGGGAGGCCTAAGCATCAGCCCGCTGCTTGCTCACCCTCATGGGCTGCCTTAGCGCGTCCCAGAGAAGCTTCTTGGCACCGTCTGGAGCTTGCTGTCGCGTTCCAGACCAGCCGGCCTGGCAACAATGTGGGGGAGGAGGAAGTCTGCTGTGGAGCCCTGTTAGGGGAGCGGGGCCAATGCTAATGGGATCACAGGCCGCAACCCCGAGGTCCTGGGGAGGTCGGCCAGGACATTGTGAAATGACATTTCGAAGACCCCACCGCAGAGGGTCAGAGAGCGTGTGGGTGGACTTGGCGGCGAGCGAGGACCCTTGGGGAAGTCATCGGTTGCCCTGGCACTTGGTTAGACTCTCCGCAGAACAGAAGCTCGGGCCAGGCCAGCCCTGGGCAGCTGTGGACGGGATGAACGGTCCTGCCGGCGGATGCAGGCTTGGACCCACTGCTGGGACCAGATTAATATGAGCTCCATAGGGGAGAAAAAAGAGGGGCGTCTGGGGGCTCAGTCGGTGAAGCATCTGCCTCCAGCTCAGGTCATGATCTCGGGGTCTGGGGATCGAGTCCCACATCGGGCTCCCTGCTCAGTGGGGAGCCTGCTTCTCCCTCTCCTGCGGCTCCCCCTGCTTGTGCTCCTCCTTCTCAAAAAAATAAAATCTTAAAAAAAAAATTAAAAATCTGCAAAGTACTTTTTAGGTGGGAGGAATTGCTGCCAGACACCGGATCGAAGGCCCAGAGGGTAAGAGTTGTTGTCTGTCCGCTTTGGGGCCTGATTCTGGCCCCTCAGGCTAGCATTTCCCCTGTACTGAGAGGAGACCATGTGGGGAACGAGCATACCCTTTCTCCTTGGTGGCCTGGGTCCCAGGGAAAAGGAGCTTGCAAAGGTCAGGAGGGTTCCCCTGTGGTCTTAGGACAGCCCCAAGGCTCCCCAGTGCAGGACAGGGTGGGGGCTAGGGGCCTTGTTTTCCGCAGGATTTGTGTTTATAACCCGATAGTTTCTTTACCTTTTATCTAACGAGAGTGAGTAATCTATTGGGGAGATTTAACGAAAACCAGACATTACCTCACTGGTGTCTTATCCAAGGCCGCTCCTGTGACTTGGGGTCTTTTCCCGTGTTAAGCAGGATGGGGAGAACTCCATAGACTTCCGCTGAGTCAAGGGAATCACAGAACACACATGTTTGAGAAGCCCTGTTCTAGTATTTGTACTCAAGCCCTTCTCTCCACCCACCTCCCCCCGCCCCCACCCCCAGTAAACATCTGTTTTTATCATTCTGGAAACATGGCAGAGGGATTCAGCCCAGCCTACCCCACGGAGTGAGCAGTCTCAGGGGCTTCTCTGGCTCCCCTCTTCCTGGAGGCGTATGAAGAGTTTCCTGTGTGAGCTCACAACGGCCTCCTCCTCAGGCGTGGGAAAATAATAGCGGCAGGCAGACCCCTCTCCGAGGTTGATGGCTCTCTCTCTTTTTTAAAAAGATTTTTATTTGAGAGAGAGCATGAGCAGGGGGAGCGGCAGAGGGAGAGGGAGAAGCCGACTCCATGCTGAGCAGGGAGCCCGATGCGGGATTCAATCCCAGGACCCCGAGATCATGACCTGAGTCGAAGGCAGACGCTTCATTGACTGAGCCCCCCAGGCGCCCCCGATAGCTGCTTTCTAACAGAAGTGTCAGACAAATAGCGACTCAAGTGGCCCACGTGTCCCTTCAGGTGTAGAAAGGCTGCTGCGTTTTGGAAAAGGAGAGTCTGATGGGTCCGAGACGGAATTACCCCCAGGTTGTCCTCACATAGAAGGACAGCTCTTGTCATGCCAGGCTGGGCAATGGGACATCTGTGTCTGGCAGCAAAAAATTTAAAGCCCAGTGAAAAAGGTCCACATATCCACAATCACTATGTAGTAAGTGATACGAGGAGTAAGTGTTAACAGGTATCATTGTGGCTTGATAACTACCAACCATCTGCTGTTCTGCTGATGGTACTGACATATGTGGGAGGGACAGGACCTACAGTCTGGGACTGACTTGAAAATACATTAGTGGTGGGGCGCCTGGCCGGCTCAGTCAGAGCAGCGGAGAACTCTTCATCTCGGGGTCGTGAGTTCGAGCCCCAAGTTGGGTGTGGAGATGACTTAAAGATAAATTTTTTTTTAAAGATTTTATTTATTTATTTGACAGACAGAGATCACAAGTAGGCAGAGAAGCAGGAAGAGAGAGAGGAGGAAGCAGGCTCCCTGCTGAGCAGAGAGCCCGATGCGGGGCTCGATCCCAGAACCCTGGGATCATGACCTGAGCCGAAGGCAGAGGCTTTAACCCACTGAGCCACCCAGGCGCCCCAAAGATAAAATTTTTTTAAAAAGATTTTATTTATTTACTTATTTTACAAAAAGAGACACAGTGAGAGAGGGAACACAAGCGGGGGGAGTGGGAGAGGGAGAAGCAGGCTTCCCGCCAAGCAGGGAGCTGGATTCGGGGCTTGATCCCGGGACCCTGGGATCATGACCTAAGTCGAAGGCAGAGAGTTAACCGACTGAGCCACCCAGGCACCCCTTAAGATAAAATCTTTAAGAAAATAATAAATATGTTAGCAGAAACGTAAGAAAAAGAAAAGAGGTAAAGCACGTGAGACAAAACCTTTTAACACTAGAGTCTGGGTGATGGATAATATGGTTTCATTTTACAGTTTTCTCAACTTGTGTGGTGGATTGAACATGTTCATAATTAGAAGAAAAATTAAAGACACTGTGACTAGTGTTAAAAGACAAACCACAGACGGGAGAAGATATTTAGAACACATGTAACTGACAAGGGATTTCTACCCGAAATGTATAAACAACTCCCACAAAATAGTTAAAAAAGAAAAAAAAAAAAACAACTCTACCAACACATAGGAAAAAAGACATAGATTATAAAAAGCAATTTCAGGGGCCCCTGGGTGGCTCAGTTGGTTAAGCATCTGACTCTTGATTTTGGCTCGGGTCCTGGTGTGAAAGTCGTGAGACTGAGCCCTGCCTTGGGCTCCTTGCTATGCGTGGAGCCTGCTTAAGTTTCTCCCTCTCCCACTGCCCTCCCCCACCTCTCTCTTTCCAAAAATAAAAAATAAAATAAATAAATAAAATTTTAAAATAAGTAGACAAACCAATT